AAACAATTTCACAAGATTAAACAATTTCATGAAAAAATTTCATAAGATTAAACAATGAAATCGACAGATGAAGGTGGTTTGCACGGTTTACACAAATGAAGGCGGTGTTTCATATGATCACTCCTATATATATATATATATATATAATATTTTACAGTATTGTTTTTAATATTATGAATTTTAAAATTATAGGTAATGTTTTTTAAAAAAAATTAGGAAAATATATGAATAATTGGTTAAAATTTGATCAAAATATTATAAATATGATTCCATTGGATTGTTTATCCAATGTAAACTAGATTGAATGAGTTCTTCCACTGGGTAATTGGGATCTAATTCACCTAAATATATTATGTCAGATTCATGTGTTATACAATAAGAATCCTAACAACAGCCATGAATGTAGGTAAGTTGCTAAATCAAACCAAATCAAGGAAAACATAGTATATCTCACCTCACATGTCATCTACCTAAAAAGGTAGACAGATTGTTTTCGTGAAGTTAATGACTAACCAGTTGTTTATTAGAGGTTTACCGGGTGAGAATGGCAAGCTTACCCGGTAAGGGTTTACCGGTTAAAAGAGTATTATCAACGATCCATGTTGAAGCAGAGATTTGTTCTAGGCACCAAGAACAGGTTTTTGGCAATGATCCATAAGAAAACAACTCATGATTTAGAACTAGAACTTGTCAAAACCTAACGAACAATTCAAATCATCCATTTTCAGTTTGATCAAAGACTTTTCCACCAGAATTAGAAAAAGCTTCGAAAATTGGGCCTCAATAATCATAATTGATCATAAATCAATAATAATCTGGTCAACGTAAGTGAAGGACGGCTGAATTACATCCTCAGAATGAATGGATCTGTTAATGTTTCTTCTTCAAACCCATTATTCTTAATTCACCAGTTTTTAACAAAGTATAACAAGAGATGGAGCTGAAATAGATGAAATTTTGGTTGACTTACCTTGGTTTATGATGTTATGAAATGGAGAAACCCGTGGAAGAATTCAGATTAGAAGTTGTGATGGTGGCGATTGGCATCGGTTCTTCAGATGCCTCTGCAAATTCTGCAGGTACAAAACATCAAAAGGAAGATCCAAACGTCTTTGTATGATTGGAATAGAAAAATAAACTAAGTAATATAATATACAATTGGGCATCTAAAGAAGAAAAGAGTGGTATATTAAAATAAATAGTAAAACAAAGTTTTATATTCAACTACAAATAATATTTTTAAATCTTAAGGATATATTATAATTATACTAGAAGAGTACCCGCGCAATGCAGCGAGATACATCGTGTTTTTAATATTTCATTTTATTCTTTATCTC